GGCACAGGCCAGGCTGAGGGACCCCCCTCTCGCCCGAATGCACAAATTTTTCTGCACTGGGCCTCTAGTATATATATAAAACCCTAATATGCAAATAGACCCAACAGTGGAACAACTGAACAAGTGGTCACTATGACGTGTGCTGACCACCAGGGGGCATGTGTGGAATATGGTGGGCATTGGCAGCAGGCAGCAGAGTGCAAACATGGCAGGTGTTGGCTGTGGCAGGATGATAGAGCAGGTTGTGAGATTCCAGACCAAGGTGGGGTGCCAGTCACTGTCACTGGGGCAAGCCGTGGGTGGTTACTAAAAATTCTTTGCTCCCAGAGGTTGTGGTCCTGCCAGGCACTCACACCCACTGCTGTTGCTGGCCCCACTTGCATCCGCTGCCAGCACCCCGGCATTGGCCCCGATCGCTCAGTGCTTTCAGTGGGTGTGAGTGGTGGCTGTTGGCCATGATCTCCCCTCAGGGAGTCTCCACCTCCCCATATTCCTGAGGGGCAATCAGGGCAGCAGCTGCCTCTTGCACCTGCTGCCAGTAACAGCCCCACTTGAACCGACTGCCAGTGCCCGGCACTGGTCCTGATTGCCCCTGAGGGCTACTCCACCTCCTCTTGCTCCTAAGAGGCAATAGGGCAGCAGCTGCAGCTCACACCCGCTGACAGTGCTGGCACCACTCACACCCACTGCTGGTGCCAACCCCAATAGCTCAGTGTAGTCAACCCATGGGAGCAGCTGTGGTGGGAACGGAGCTGTTGGTAGAGAGGGGACCAGGGGCCGCAGCAGGAGGGGCCAGGTGGGGGCCAGAGGATGGGCCGAGACCGACCCCTGTGCCCACTGCAGCCTCTCCGCCCACAGTTCCTTTCAAGGTACACAAAAATTGGTGCACTGGGCCCCTACTGCTTCATAGAATGTACTAAGCACTTCCAGCACACATTTTTGGTAATTCATTTTGTGTCTCAGCTAATGGCCACACATAACTTTGCTGCTGGCAGACAACAATAGCAGCAACAACAACAAAAAGGCCACTCATATCTTTTTATTGATTTTTTAGAGAGGAAGGAAGAGAGAGAGAGAGAGTGAGAGAGAAAGAGAGAGAGACCACCCATCAGTCCTCCCAAATGTGCCCCACCAGGGATTGTGGAACCTGCAACCTTTTAGTGTATAGGACATGCTCCAAACAACTGAGCAACCCGGCCAGGCCCATAAGTCATTTTTATAATAAGAGCAGCTAGGACAGGTTACTCTGTCTTCCCCATTCTCCACACTTTTCTTGGTGATGCTGAAGTTATCACAAGGGAAGGGTAGAAATAGGTCTCCAGGTCCTCATCCTATCCACCTCTTCAATGGTGAAACTTTGCCATTGCACTGGGGACAGATGAGGGCCCACAGGGCCCAAAGCTATAGGGATGGGTCTAACTTCCTGTATTCCTGCCCCAGCAGGGTGCTGTCACCACGGACCAGCACAGGAACTATCACTGCAGAATAGTTTTGGAAGAACACTGTTACTGGAAGTTGCTGTGTCTTTTTTGTTTTTTCCAACTCATCAACATGTTGCTGCAAAGGTTGCAATCCTTCGCTGATCATATGGGTAACTTTAATATCTGGCAGACCCTTTTCTGTGACTGTGTTTTGTTTTATATGTACCAGCCAGTGAGGATGCATAGGTATATTATGTACCTATTTGTTTCTACCTATGTGTGTAAGTTAATTTTTATTTTTGTGTGTGATACTATATCCTCTTTATTTCCTTATTTCCCAGCATGAGAAGATGGATGTTAGTTGAACCTATTGTGGCAATCATTTTGCCATACATTCATATCAAACCATCGAGTTTTAAGTTTTGTTTCTTTTGATGCTTATGTCATTTAACTTATTTTTAAAAATCTTGTTTTTCTACCCTTCCCATTTTTTTTTAGTACAGGACATTTTTTTAAATTACTCTGTTCTCCCCCTATATAGTTAGAATTGGGCTTTGTCATTTACAACAACTGATCCTAATTAAAATAGAGATGGTTTTGATTAGAAAATGAACCAAGAAAAAATACAATGAGTACCTATATAATAATTTAATCTCTGTCATGGTGCTATAGTTCAACATCATCTAATGTTCTATCCATCACAGAAACATTATTTTTTGCAAGGGAAGTCTAACTAACATTTAAGAATAAAATGAATGAAGCGATTTTTTAAGAACTAGGGCAGAGAAACTGAGAAGGTAAGTATGAGAATTAATGATTGTGTGACAGTTATCATAAAGGTGAAAACATAGTAATTCTTCACACCATTGGAGACAAATGCCATTAAATAACTATAGTTAATGGGATTATGATTTTAGAAATTTTCCTATTATAATAGAAATTCCATACTGAGAGTATAAGGGAAAAAAGTATGCAATGCCAGGATTCAGTAAGCTGTCTAAGGGTAGAATTTAAACATCTGAGATACACCTAACAAGGCCTAAGTGTTCAGCATTTGTGATTAAGATGTAAGTTAACAGCATGGGCGGTGAAGTCTTTGTCCTCTGATATCTTTTCGAATAAGAAAACACCTTCTCAGAGGCCTTGCCGATGGGGATAAACTACAGCAGGCACTTACCGGCCCAGAGTATCCTACATTCTGGAGGTGTTTGATGAGGTAAACCATCTTCAAAATAGCCCAAGTGTAAGAATTTCCTGTTCAAACTTTCAGTGACATATTTATGAGATCTCTGTTAGCCCGTCTCATGTAGTGGGAGATTACAAATGCTAGATGTGATGCCAGGGAGGTACAATTAAGATACAATCAAATAAAAGAGAACATTGGTATCTTTATGAAAATTTGGGGCAAAAAATGAGAAGAATAAACTATGAACTATGTTGGTGTATATCAAACTATTCAAATTCTTGCCTGTAGAGAATGAATCGAGTGCATGCACACATGCGTTTTTAAGCAAAAACATTTTACAGTAGAATTCAGCAAGAATCACCACAATGAAAAGTTATGTTTATTTTATTTTATAATCAATATAGGTATAATTTATATTTAGCCCAGCCTCTAAAAAGAGATTGTTAAAATGAATTCCCTGAATTACAGCGGTAATCTAAATATACACTTATTTAGATTAAATGAAAGCAGATGGTTTTTAATAAAAATCAGGATTAAGTAGCTCCCATAAAAGGCAAATTTAAGCTTACTTATAAACAATCAAAAGACATTTAAAAAATTGAACAAACATTGCGAGAAGCAGCACCACACTGACAAAGAGACCGTTGTTTAGTGAATTATGTTACAGCATAATAAATAAATATATGCTACTTAATAAAATTAATTTATTTCAGAAAGTTACCATATATGCCAGCACAACTGATGCCCAATCTTTGGAGCACTCAGTCTTCAATCATTATTTGATTTCAAATTTTTCAAAAATACTGGAAACTCTTTTTTCTAATACAACATTTTAATTTTAATACAAGCATTCCGATAATGTTAAATATTTTCATGGAATCTGACTTTAAATTAATGACAATGTCATTATTTATCCTATTCTTTATTCCTCACTGATTTATTGTTTTCTATGGCTCAAACAAATAATATATTGTCAAATGTAGAATATTGGAAAATTATGTCTACTATGAAGCACTTGTTTAAAGATCTAACAAATTTAAAACCAGAGCTTTAGATTTTTCAACTTGGAAATGAGCCCTACTACCCTCTACCCCGCCCAGTTTTCCTGTCCTAGAGATCGCATTATTGCATAGGTCATTTATTCATAAGTACACCTGACTTAGAGCACAGTCTCAATCACCACCCAGCTGCGGAGATGAATAACCAACGTGTAACCTATGCAGAACTGAATTTGGCCAAGTCCGCCAAGAGACAGCAAAGGAAGCCTAAGGGCACCCAAAGCTCCATTCCAGTAACAGAGCAGGAAATAACCTATGCAGAATTAGCTCTTCAAAATGCTTCCCGGGATCTTCAAGAGAGGGACAAGAAGGACCACTCCAAAGGTAACACAATCAATAGACACACAGCATAACTGTTCTAGTCTGTGCAGATGTGGGGGAAAGGAAGGCATTAGCTCACGTATTTTTCATTTGTGAGAATCAGCGCTTAAAGTTGGAATACAGTATTCTAAGATGAAAGCTGAGGGCTAATTCTCTTCAGGTATTGTTGTAAGGGGTAGTCTTTGACCAGTAACGCATGGAGCATTATATTTCCTAAACATGCGATGCTATATTCTGGGAGGAAGATTACAGTGGTAGGTATTGGCTTGGTGTTCAAGTTTATGTATTTGATTCTCTGTATGTAAATGGTCTAAACAATTCTCTCTCTCTCTCTCCTTTCTCAGTGTTTCCTTTTCTCTTCCTGCAGTTTCACCATCACCTCCAGAGAAGTGCATTGCTGGGACCCTAGGTGTCTTCTGCCTTGTCCTGATATCCGCTGTGGTGACGATACGTATTCTCTGTAAATACATTTTTGCAAGGTTATACAGTACTTTTCATTTTTATGTCCATCTGTGGCTCTGAACACTTCATAATGTTATGAAATAGAACTCTGAACCTAAAGTATGCATTTAGGCTAATTGCAAAATGGTAATTCTGAATTTGTCCAAGGCATAAATATCAGGACGATTTTAGAGAGTAGTTTATAAATATATGTACACATATATGACCACATATATCCATATATATATATAATCATATGTCCATATATATCCATATATATATATATATATAAATCAGAATATATATTTTTATATCCTCAAGGCATGTTTTAGTACACCTTATTGAGAAATACAAATTAATTTTTGAGATTGCTTAATCCAAATACTGTGAGATGTAGTTCTCTAAACTTTAGAAACACTTTTCCTCATAATTACCATTACTACATTAATTTTCATTGGTAATTAAATTTTTTTCAGATAATTCTAATCCTAGGCAATACAACACAATTAAACATAAGAAACAATTATGGTGTACTTAGATCAAGATTAATTTAAGAATTACTTTTTTTTTCAGCTAATGTAATACAGGGGCAGAATAATTCTTCATTGGAAACCGAGATCCAGGAAGGTAAATGCTTATTTTCTCAGTTCTGATATTAGTGTAGTTCATTCTTTATCTATAACGTAGGGTGGCCAAAAATAATAGCTTTTTGGGAATGGTAACATAAATTATAATACGAGGCAATAAATATTCATAATGATTATAGAAGAGTGTTTTCTTATGCAACAATATGTAGAAATATTCATTTAAGACCATAATACCCATTGTTGTAGATGGGATCAAAGATAATTTTAGGGTTCTAAAAAAGTGGTTTTCTTCATTGACATTCACAACATGTAGAGAGTGGATATTTTTGGTTTTTTGCTTAATATGGAACATGAACCAGGAAACAAGAGACGAACCCTTTTCTGTGAGTGTGTTTTCTTTTTCTATATTGCACAAATGTGTCTATACCTATGCAAATATGTAAATTAATTTTTATTTAAAAACATTTAAATTGTTTTTGATAAAATTTTATAATCTTTCTTCAGCATATCATTGTGGACATTGTCCAAAGGAGTGGTTTACATATTCCAACAATTGCTATTACATTAGTACTGAAAATAAAACATTAAATAGATCATGAAGAAGAAATGGTAAGATTTAAATGTTTCGATCTTATTTAAAAGTCTATTTTAGTCTATATTTATAGAATTGATTCATATTTTGTATATATTCATAGTTTACTTATTTTAAAGACTATTAACATGCATTGTTTGACTCTCGAATACTTTACATTTTATCCGATTCATGCACATTTGATAATTTCTAGTTCTTGCTTTTTAATAGGCAAGCAAGCTTCTGTAAATGCTTTTTTTCTAAAGCAAACTTTGCTACCTAATTTTACTATACATCAAGAAAACTGAAGGTATCATGATTGTGCAGATTAATTACAAACTTAAATGACCCACATAATTACAAATCATGACATAGAAGTTACCTGTCCACAGTAGCACCTCTCTGTGTGTCTCCTTTAACACTCACATGATATTTTTGCAATCTCTCCATATTATTGCTTTTATCTGTAATTTGTTAATTTTCACTGCTGTATTGTAGTGACATGACATTTTTAATCTCTTTTACCCAGAATATAGTGGTTTTTTAATATGTGAGTATTATGAATAATTATTTTATGAAAATACGTGTCTGATTTTTTCAAATATTATATTGTATTTAAAATAATTTATATTTTATAGAAATATTAAATATAATACATTACATTCATATACTATAAATGTATTTGTAATAATATAATAATGATGTATAAATCTATAATAATAAAAGCACAATATGCTAATTAGACTGGACAGCCAAATGACCTTCCAGATGACCTTCAAGACGAAGCTGGGGCTGTTGAGTGCCAAGACCCTTGCATAAATTTCATGCATCGGGCCTCTAGTACAATTAGATTATTATAATTGCATATGTAGATAGTTAAAATTTATTGTCCTCTATAAATCAGAATCAAATTGCAGTCATTAATATGCCAATTTTTTTTAGATTATCCCAACATGTTCTAGTTTATTATGTAAATACACATTTTATCCAAAAATTACATGGTCCAAGATTTAGTACTGCCAGAACGTTCATTGCTGTATGTTCTGATCATTATATAAAATATCATTTTGACATAAGCATTTTTCTGATTGGTAATGGATAGAACACATCTTTCTGGGCACTAGTTCTTATGGAATTATGTATTGAGAGAATAAGTGCCTGTTCATGTCTCTCTACCATTTCTCCTATGTGTTGCTTGTTATTTCCTTTCCTAGAAGTTGTTATATTTCCTATATGAGCTCTTTTTTAAATTTATAAGTGCAAATAGTGTTTTTGACTGTTGCTTACATTTTCAGTCTCATGTTGGAGTCTTTAAATGACCTGAATTTATTAATGTTAATCTAGTCCAATATATCATTATGGGTGTTAGTGATTATTTTAGAAGTTAGTGAAAGTTTGTGAAGACAATCTGCTGTGTTATATGAAAGATACATTCATTAGTTGCCTCCTCTATGTGCCCCATCTGGGGTTCAAACTCACAACTGAGGTTTGTGCCCTGACTGGGAATTGAACCCACAACCTTCTAGGACATGGGATGATGCTACAACCAATTGAGCCACACTGGCCAGAGCTGCCATCATATTTTCATATAGTTATTTAGACATAGTATTTTTCTAATATATATTTATAATAACTACTTTAAAATATTTTCTAATAACTCTGACATCTTATCCCAGGGAAAATTAGATTCTATTGACTGATTCCCCCACCAAGTATGAAAGACATTCTTTTAGTTTCTTTGCATGTTTTCTAATTTTTGGTAAGTACATATTTTTGATAATATAATATAGTAAATATGGATTCTTCATCTTTCTTAGACTTTTTGTAACTTTAATAAACTTTTAGTGTATAATATTCTCTTTTGAAGTGTGCTTACTCAGTTTTTAAAATTCTCATTATTTGTTTTCATATTTAGTAGATTTATAATCTACTTACCAGAGATTAGCCTTGTGTTTGCATAGATTAGCAGACAACCAATGATTTTGGAAAATATATTCAAATAGGTCAAATCAATATGGTTTTCACCCTCTGTTATTAAATATATGTGTGTGTGTGTGTGTGTGTGTGTGTGTGTGTGTGGGGGGGTGCGCGTGT